CTCTTCCGAGCCTGCAGGTCAGCCTCTCGCTCCAGAAGACTCACTGTGGCCTCTGTACAGGGAGCCACGCTCGGCCCTGGCCTGCACAGTGAGGTGAGCCGGGCCCTGTCCTAGCTCTCACAGAGCTGTCAGCCCACTAGAGGCAGAGGGGGGCAGGAATATTTCTTTTTTTGAGAGAGAGAGATTTTTATCACAGGGCTGGTACACTCATCAGAGAGACAGAGAGATAGAGAGAATTCACTGCCCTAGAGGGGCTGGGCACGCTGCAATCCCTTCTCCTCCACTTTCCTCTTGGGATTTTGAGCATGCATGCACATGCGCCTGGCGTGCATTTTAAACCACCAGGTCCAGGGAACCAGCAGTTAGCGTAATGGCTATGTCGCTGGACTCCCACATAGTCGACCGTGGTTCGTGTCCCAGACCCGGTGGCTTAAAAACTCACGCCGGGCGCGTGTGCGTATGTGCCCAAGATCCCGAGAGGAGAATGGAGGAGAGGGGATTGTGGCGTGACCATCCTCCCTGGGGGGTGATTTCTCGCTTTCTGTCTCTATGTCTCTCTCTGTCTGTCTGGCGAGCGCACGCGCCCTATAGTGAAAAACCTCTCCAAAAAAAAAAAAAAAAACCACCAGGTCCAGGACTCAAACTGCTGTTGGCCATGTGGGAGTCCAGCGACATAACCACTATGCCATCAGCTGGGCCCAAGGGCAGGGTTGTTTCTAATATGAGGCAGACCTAGTGGACCTCTATGGAGAGGTATAAAAAGGTGCTTTGGCAGGCCTGGCCTAAAAGCATGGCTCTGTGTGTTAGAAGCACAGAGCCTTGACAGTCAGGTAAACTTGAGCAGGAGGCAGGGTGGGGAAGCACTCCAGGCAGACGGGAGAGAACTGAGCCAGAGATGGAGAAGGTGGGGACATGGTGCTGTGGGGGACAGGAGATATCTGGGGACCCTGGGTGCCTGTTGTGCCTGGACTTCGTTCAGAAAGTCACTGGGGGCCAGGGAGAATTGGTGTAGGCAGCCGCCCACCTCCAGTCACCTGGGGCTGATGCAGCCCTCAGAACTGAGGCCGGGGGTGTTTTCTCTCCACTCTAGTTCAGTAGGTGAGAGGAAGAGGACCCTTGGGAAAGAACTTGGCATGATTCCAGAGAAAAAGTTCAGACTGACTGGAGCTTAGAGACAAGGGGTGGGGACAGGGGCTGTGCCAGCCCGGGTCCTGCTGAGTGTGCGGGAAGGCAGAGCTGAGGTCTGGACTGCAAAGTGTCAGGATGTGCCCAGGGCTGTGAGTCACAGGCGTTGTGGGGAGCTGGGCTGGGCTGGAGGCCATAGCAGCGGTCCAGGGGAGAGAGGCTGACCGGCAGACTGGATCAGGGCCTCTGCATAGGGCAAGAGAAAACTGGACAGAATGAGAGGCATTCTGACGTCAGAGCTGACTGGGCCTGTGGGGGACTGGACGCTGATGGACAGACGTGAGAGGGACGTGTCAAGATGGAGCCCTGGTCTGGCCGCATTATCTCTGGGACTCTGTGCAAAATCAGAACACAGGTCTCTTTTCCACAAAGCCTTAAGGATGTGAAGACAATGACAGCAGAATGTTGAACTGTAGGGGACCTTTGAAGCTCAGGGCGCGAGAGACCGCAGAGGCGCCCGTCCGTGGAAAGGGGTTGCCAAGGGGAGCGGGTCGTGGCACTTGCCTCCTTGCCTGGGATGCCTGGTTCTCCGGGTCCTCCCTGCAGAACAGAACAAAGCGCGGTTGTCTCGCTGCAGCCCACTAAGAACACAACCAGCCTCAGAACAGCCATTTCCACCCCAGCCATGCCCCAGCAAAGACAGCAATGGATGACCCGCCTGACCCAGCACACCGCCAACAGGATGTCAGGCCAGCCTGGGCAGAGGAGGGCAAGAGGTGGGATGGGGAGGAGCCGTCTGTGCTGTCAGGAGCTGGGCTCCTTGTCTGCCCCTGGGATGGTGAGACCCACCACGAGCTGGAGCATCAGTCTGTAAGTTGTGGGGAGGCCGCTCAGGCCGTGAACTAAGGCACCACTAAGATGGGGCTCTGAGGTCAGACTTCCAGGTGCACCTCGGGGCTCCTCCACACCTGGCCCAGCGACACTAGGCAGCCCCCGACTTCCCTGGGTGCTCCAGGCCTCAGTTTTCTTCATCTGCGATGCAGAAATAGTAGCTGCACCTGCCTCTTAGGGTCACCACGACATTTAAATGCGTTAGTATTCGTAACAGCAGAGCAGCGCCTGCAGGAGCGGTGGACGCATGGCCTGCTAGTCTCACAGCCAAGGAGTAACTGCTGCAGAGTGAGGGCATGCCTGCTCGGGGCAGCCAGTTGTTCCCAAGGAGACCGAGAAGGAGGCTTCTGCCTTGAATGGTGGAGCAGCCACGTGAGATAAAAACCCATGGACAGAGCCAGGGAGGCCCTGGCAGCTCAGTAGACAATGGTGAAAAGGGCACCCCTGGAACGGTGGGGCTTGGCTGGCTGTGAGGGCACCCAGAGGGGTCAGAGTAGAGCTGGAGGGGGTGGACAGCATGGACAGGCTTGCTGCCCTGGTATGCATTGCAGACCTAGGTCATAAATCCGCAGTCTGAGCGTGGCCCGGTGCTCTCAGTACACCAGTAGGCTTGGGTTGTGAACGCCAGCTTCTCTCACGGCCCTCTGCCCAGGCTCCCTGCGAAAGTCCCCCTCCAGCTTCTCTGCATTGAGCTGTCCAGTCGGGAGACCCAGGCTCAAGTGACAGCTACAGCTCAGTCTTACTGTGTGGTCCTGAACAAGCCACCTACATGCTCCGACCCTGCAGCCCAGACTTGCTCAACTTCAAGATGATGTTTAAAGGAACTTCAGGCTCTGGGGTCATTCTCGCCCTCCCTCTCCCAGCCCAGACTTCGGTACGATCATCTACGCTTACTGAGCTCCGTGATGGCCAGGAACCACTGCTAATCCCTTCACACAGCATCGTTTATCCTCGGATACGAAGCCCTTGTCATTCCCACCTGAATGATGAGGCAACTGAAGCAGAGATCCCATAGTGGGGGGTGGGGAGATGCCACCGGGTGTGACCTGAGCACTCCATTGTCCCCTAACTTTAACCCGGGCGGGTTGTCATGCTCGGAGCAGGGGCCTGAGGACACAGGAGGTGGCAGGGACGGTCTGAGTGTGGTGGTCACACTGGGAGCCAGGCACCTCGGCCCACTGCGGCTCTGCTTACCGGAGGTCCACGGGGACCCAGGAAGCCGGGAAGTCCAGGGCTGCCCTGTGCGCCTTCGTTTCCCTTCTGGCCCTGTGAAGGGGAAGCGGAATTCATTCCTCCAGGTCAACATCAACCACGCAGGTTCAGAGAGCGGTGACCAGGCTGCTCTGGGAAGGCCTGACATCCAGCAGGCAGGAGCAAGGAACCCTTGCCTGTGCAGAGGGGCCCAGCAAGCCTGGCAGCCCGTCATGGACTGTCGGAGGTAGACGGGGAATAGCCTTTCTATTCAAAGTGGCCAGACGGAACAGGACAGGTGTTTAACAAGTAGCCCGATATGTGCGCGGCCCCCCCAGGAGCCCTCTAGCAAGACGGTCACTTCTTCCGAGAGACTGCCAGGGTCATGTTGGGGAGGCCCACCTGGCGACCTTTCCTCAGCCTTCCTGGGAAGCTGCCCTGTGGGCTTGGACCTGCTTCCTACGAGCCCTGGCCTGTTTCTCGCCAGCAGCAGCAGCACACACTCCAGCTCCCGAGGAAGATACCAGGGGCACAGCTGCCCCTGTCCGCCACACTGACCAAGCGTCCAGGTTTTCTGAAACTGGGGCATTTCCCAGGAGGCGAGGTTTTCCAACGGGAGAAGTTCCTGGCGAACCAGGATGTGCTGTTACCTCTCCGAGCTTGTCTAACGCAGGTGTCGTCTGACTCCCCGCACTCGCAGGGGAGCTTCCAGGGTTGCCACTGTTTTTTTCAGTTTTTGCCGTAGGACATACGCACTCTCCAGAGACAGAGAGTGAGGGGGAAAGTGAGAAATCACCCCCCAGGGACGATGGCCATGCCACAGTCCCTTTTCTTCCATTCTCCTCTTGGACTTTGGGTCTACCTGTACACAAGCCTGGCATGATTTCTAAGCCTCCAGGTCTGGGACTCAAACCATGGTCAGCCATGTGAGAGTCCAGTGTCTTAAACACCAAACCACAGGCTGACCCCAATACGGTTGCTGATTTTAACAAGTAAAGATACAAAAAGGCTGGCTGGGAGAAGACCAGTGAGGCTTTGACTCACCCAACTCTAGAACTGACAAAAGAACTGTGTGTCTACCATGTCTCCCCAGCCACCAGGCCCCCGCCTGCGTCCTGCCAACCAGAACAGCCACCTTCTCCCTGCTACCCTGCCTGCCTGTCGGTCCTCTGCTCCCACCACTCCCCACCTCCAACCCCATGTTTCCCAGCTCCCCGTCCTCTGAGATGGGAAGGGCTGCTCAGCCTCCCCTGCCCTTCCACCCTCTCAAGTCGAGCGCCTCCCTTCCACCTCCCAGCATATTTCAGACAACATGGTCGCCGACGACAAAGCTTGCACGATGCTGTAACAGGGCAGCAGAAGAGGACTCACCGGGTTTCCTGGAGGCCCGGTGTCTCCCGGAGGTCCAGGTGCTCCATTCTTGCCCTGGTGGAAGAAACAGAAACACGGAATCTGCCAGGACCCGCTGCCAGGGCATTGCAGAGCAGGGCAGTGGGGCAGGGACTAGGGGACGTGGAAGACTTGATTCACAGACTCCGTTGCCCAGGCCGCTGTCGCTCTCAGCAAACCACTTCGTTACTTAGATAGGATGCTTCCCAACGTGCAAAGGGGCTCGTGATGTTTAATTCACATACTGTTGTGGCACTAAAGGAGTCCGTGGCATAAAGAAGCCCAGCCCCATCACGGTAAGCGGCTGTGATCACACACATCCGCCTGTCCTTCACCCTTCAGCCAGCTGCTGTGCCGAGGACACGGCCCCACCTCCCGGTGACTGTCCCAGCAGGGCAGCGTGGCTCTCAGCTCAGGGGCACGTCTGTGTACACCTCTGATGGTCCTGCTCCCCAGGGCATTGCGTGTCTCCTCTAACGGAGGAGGGGATGACGCCCAGGGCTGCCAGGACTGAGAAGTCGCGTAGCTACAGACAAGGCCCATCCCTCAGGACTTCAGAACCGACTCTCGTGACTCTGACTTCTCTAACCTGACGGGCATTTTGTGCACATTTGTAGTTTTGACAAATACACGGAGAAAACAGGAAAGCTCAATAATACTCCTAGCTACCCCTTTTGGGATCGGACAAATTCCTAGTAAGCCTGAAGCTGACGACTCCGTCTCCCCAGGCTGACCTAGCCATCCCACTGCCCTCCACGGCCTCCTTCCAGGGTTTACCCTCCCTGCACGCTGGAAGTCTCCCTGTGGGGCGCAGTCTGCCCTGCCCTCTCCACGCCCAGCACGTAGCCCAGGGCTGAGCACACAGGGCTGTCTGATACATGACGAGCCACGCAGAGGGCCCCTCGCCAGGGATCCTCTTATCAAAGGGACTAGCACACTGGAACCTGCGAAGCTCGTGCCAGCTTTGTGGCGACACATGGCAGCAGAGGTACGTGACACTGACCAGAACCTCTCCCAAGGCCTTCGCGCGCATTAAGTCACTGCTCGCGTAGTCCCCGTTGTACAGCTGGGGACAGGCAGGGACATGCTGGCAACCTCCCTGGGAGGGATGCGCAGGAGCCGAGATCTGCCCTTGGACACGAGCCCACCCCTGCACTCTGCCCCTCACTGCAGACAGGGCCTGTGGTCCGTGGTCACATGTGCAGATTCCGACCTGTGCCTAAGAAGTCCATGTGTGACTGGGGTGATTCCTAGGCCTTGTCCTCTGATCTCGGCAGGAATCAGGGAGCGCAGATGAGGAAACTGAGACACGGAGAAGGCACAAGACCTGCCTGGGATGGCTGAGCCAGTGAGGGCAGAAGTCAGAGCCGTGGCCAGTACTGTTGCCAGGGGCCCACGTCCAGCCGTCCAGCTGTGCTGCGTGGCACGCCTCCCGGAGCCTCCCGGAGCCCACCGATCCATCTGGGTCCCTCTAAGAATACGTGAGCTGGCTCATCCCTCTGGAGATGGCAGCTCTCCTTCTCCCGCAGACCTCTCTTTGCAGGCAGGGGGATGAGGATCAAGCCAGCGGGCTCATGGGACAGCACCGGCGGCTCAGGAGGCAGCGCGACCCTGGGTGCCCTGCAGGCCCGTGGGGGGCAGGTTCCTTCCTCACCTCACGGCCCACCTCTCCTCACGGAGCTCCTTCTGTCTCTGTTCTACTTGGGGCTGCCACAGGCTGAATGCCACAGCTCCCACCCCCAGCTGTTCTTTTCTTTCTCCCAAGTGTCAGAGGGCACGTGTACTCATCAGAGAGAGAGAAAGACAGAGAGGCGTGTGGTCCTGCCAGACCCTGTCACCATTTCTCCATCCTGCTGGGATTCCAAACACACGTGCACACACTTGGTGTGTTTTCCAAGTCTTCAGAGCCAGGATTCAAACCACTCAGCCACGTGGGGTCTGGCTCTCCCTGCATTGGACTTGAATGCTGTACTACGGGGCTACACCGCCCCTTCAACTGCCTGAGCTCTGGACTCTGGTCTAAGCCCCTCCGTCAGGATGGCCTGCTGGAAAAGGACCTCAAGCACACAGCAGCCCCAGGTGAGTGCTCCAGGTATGGGCTCTCGATTCAGGTGGCACGGGTCTGAGTCCTGGCTCTGCTTGCTAGCTGTGTGATGTCGGCCTGTGGCTCCATTTCTCATCTGGGACTGAGACAGGCAGAGCACATTCCTCTATGAGGGTCTGGGGAGAGGTTGATGAACTGTGTAAATGCTGCATGCGGTCCCCAATGCTGGGGGTCGACCCCTGGGCTATTCCTTCCCCTGGGACCGCAGATTGCGAAAGCAGCAAAAGGAAAGTGATCAGGCCACGTGCACATTCACGGCCACCACATGGTCAGCACAGGCACCCCGGGCACCTCGTAAATGCTCGTGTTTCCTTCGGGTTGTGTGAGCTGGCTTGGGTGGCTGGGAGCACTCTCCTCACTCCGGAAAGCATAGACATTGCCGCTGAGTGAGAGTGCAGTTGCAGAGAAACACCAGGGAACTGCCCTAATGGGTTGAAAAATGCAAATATCTGGCAAGCTTTAGCAGTTTTGTTGGTAATGAATCCATTATGATGAACCTCAGAACTGACAGAGCAAACTGGAAAAGTGTGCACGGCCTTTGGGGACCTCGGGCCTCCAGGCGGCCCCCTGCATGTGGCCTGGGGAGCCTTCTGTCTCTTGGGGGGCTGCACCCTGCCGCACACTCCTGCTCCCAAATTTCCACTTCCGTCTCCTTCTCTCTCTGAATGCAGAGGCGGTGGTCGTGGATTTACTGAGGCTACTCTGTGCCGAGAATCTGAGAGGGTGGCAGAGCCACCTCCACCCACCAAGGGCCCTCCGGGCGCCAGGAAGGGAGACTGCTGGAGCACTGTCCTGCCACTGCACAGATTAATCACTGGGGTTGTAGTGAGGAAACTGAGGCCCGGGGCAGGTGAAGAAACACCTGGCCCACGTGAGGGAAACGCGGGCAGCCAGGAGTGGAGTGCAGGTGGCTCAGCTCTCAAGTGGAAGGCAGAGACTGACACCCCTGGCGGGGCCGCCCACCGCTGAGGGCGTCGGAGCCGGGGTTCTTGCCCTTTCTGCCATTGTCACTCCCTCCACAGTTGCCTTTTAGATGTTCTTTTGTTCATGGTGCTCCAGGGACACCTTCCCGCCA